ACAACCAATCACAGCAAACTTAAATGTGGACAAATATGATTCGCAGATAGATGGCTCTACTTTCCGAGAAATATCGAAAACAACCAATCATAAGACTGTGTTTGTCTGCTTAACTTCCGAGAAACAACCAATCAGAAGACTGCCTTTTTCTGCTTGCATAAGCCTTATTAATGCACATAAAATATATATAAATACGTGTTGATTTTCGTAATAAAACGATCTGTTGCCAGCCCTTGTCTTCTGTTGTTACATTTGGTGTCGCTGCCTCCAAAAGATGAAGATCCCGTGGCCAGCTGCGTTTGAAGAAGGAGACATACGGAGCTTCTTACGTGACTTCGAGGCCGTTGCTGAGCTGGTGGGTGTCAAGGAGCAGGCGGCGAAGGCAGTTGTCCTGGGGACGCTGTTGAGAGGCCGAGCGAAGGCTGCATATGACAGCGTAGACAGGTCAAATGGCACAGCGTCTTGGAAGAAATTGGTTGAACGACTAGTGTCCGAGTTTGACAGCGAAACAGACAGACAGCTAGCAATGCAGCAGTTCCGGTCAATGAAGCTTGGACCTGATGGAGACCCGCTAGTGTTGGCGGTGAAACTGACTAATCTACTTCGACGCGCGCTTCCCACTTTAGATGAAGAATCAGAAGCGCAGTTACTGTCTTCCCAATTCATCGAGAGTGTCCCAGACCACATTTCTCAGCGATTACAACTGGTTAACGCAACGCAGCCGATGGATATTAGTGAGCTGGCGAAGGTGACCAGACAGCTGCTGAGCACAACGGTAGCCGCTATAGACCAACCAAAACCAAACGAATATGAGCAGAAAATTGAAGCATTGCAGCGGGAAGTGGCGGCGTTAAAGTTGGCTGATAGAAAAGACCGGTGTTTTGAATGCGGTAAGCCGGGACACTGGAGAAGATACTGCCCAGAAAGGCGAAAAAGAAAAAATTTCAGACGGTATAATGCTTGTTCTTTCTTTCGTATGAACCTAGATTTAGTGGGGGCTATTGAGAAAGGGCTCTGTATTCGAAGTTGCGAGTGAATGATCGAGAAGTAGTATGTTTGATAGATACAGGGGCGGCCGTGTCGTTAATAGATAAGAATTTATGTAAGAGTGTTAGTCCGTGTTCATTGACAGTACAAACAGTAGGCGGGTATGTGTTGCGTATCACGGGTAGATCGAACTGTACGGTCGTTGTTGGTGGCTGCGAGGTGACGTTTCCTTTCATTGTTGTACCCGAACTACAGCGAACGATATTAGGAGCGGATTTTCTGCGTGAGATTGGTGCCATAATCGACACGCAAGCGAACGTGGTGATCACGAAATACGGGCATATCAACATGTATGAGACCAGCGAGATAGCAGCGATTAAGCTGTCGACGGTACACAATGTGACAGAGTTAATTAATAAATACGATCATCTGTTCACTGGAGATGGCGACCCATACGGTTATTGCGATAAGGTGAATCATGAAATTCCGTTAAGTGATCCGAAAGTAAGGTCATTTTTAACGCGAAGAGTTCCATGTCATCTGGAAGGCGAAGTGGAGCGACAAGTGCAAGAGATGTTAAAAGATGATATTATTGAGGAAGCTGATAGCCCGTACAACTCTCCAGTGCTGTTAGTAAAAAAAGCGAATGGGAAGTATAGATTCTGTGTTGATTTTCGACAGTTAAACAGTATGACAGAGTTAAGACCGTGTGCCATGCCAACAGTGGTAGAAACTTTAGATCGCCTACAAGGTGCGAATGTGTTTTCGGTTCTCGATCTTCGCTCAGGATACTGGCAGATACCGATAAAACAAGGTGATAGAGATAAGACGGCTTTCATCGTGGGTCAGACACAATATCGATTTAAACGCATGCCGTTTGGACTAGCAGGTGCACCGTTTACGTTCAGACGACTGATGAAGCTATTACTTAAGAACTTGAAAAACGTGGAGGTTTATGGTGATGATCTCGTCATATACAGTCAAAACGAAAACGATCACGTCAACCATGTAGAAGCCGTGCTGCGACGCATCGAAGAGTTTGGACTACGCGTCAACAAAACCAAGTCTCAGATAGCCAAAAAGAATGTTACTCTGTTGGGACATAAAGTGGGAAATGGTGAGATTAAACCACTGCCGGAGAAAATTTTGACGATTAAAACGATTCCAGCCCCGAATTCAAAGAGAAAACTGAGACAATTCTTGGGTAGAGCAGCGTTTTATAGTCGCTTCGTGAAGAACTTCAATGAGATAGCAGCCCCTCTATACAGGCTACTAGGTGAGCCAAAGTTTGTTTGGTCGGAAGAATCGCAGAGGACATTCGACAGAATTAAACAGCTGCTCGACCACCAACAAATGACGCTAAAACTACCTGTGCCAGGAAGACAGTTCACAGTGTGCACAGATGCCAGTGACTACGCTATAGGTGCGGTCCTAAGACAGGACGAGGGAATCGTTGAGTATGCCAGTAGGGTTTTGACCCTCACAGAGAGAAAGTATTCAACGATAGAGAAAGAATGTTTAGCAATGGTATGGGCAGTCGACAAATGGAGACCTTATTTACTCGGCCGGCGGTTCCACATCGAAACTGATCATAAGCCGCTACAATTTTTGAAGACAGCGAGAGACCCACGGGGGAAGTTGTCACGGTGGATGTTGCGTCTTCAGGAGTACGATTTTACGATCTCACACGTTCCTGGAAGTGAAAATGTCTTGGCAGATTTGTTATCGAGACCAGAAGATGAGTCTGAGTTGCCCGAGGTCGCTTACGGAGTGCATGCAGTAGAACAAGACCCACTAAGACTTGCACGTAGGCAGAGGTTGGACGATACGCTGAATACAGTAATACAGGTGATCACCAACGGAATAGAAGTGGATCAAACTACGGCGAGTAAGGAGCTAACCACACTACTCAGACAGAGGGATCGACTCAGAGTGAATGCCTACGGGACTCTGACCTGGCGAGAGAACGACGGAAGCTGGCTGGCTGTCATACCTCAATCGTCGCGCCACGACATGATAGAAGAATGTCACCAGCTAGCGCATACAGGCGTGGCCAGAACGACCGACCTCCTAAGACAAAGTATGTACTGGCCAGGTATGAGAGAAGACGTAGCAAGATACGTACTTGGATGTCCACGGTGCCAGCTGATGAAAGGTGACCGGTATATACGACCACCACTTCAGTCGATTCCAGTTACCGCGATAGGTGACTTGTGGTCCGTAGATGTCATGGGTCCATTTCCTCAGACATCCAATGGTAATCAGTACCTCTTGGTGATGACGGAACACGCGACACGATGGGTAGACGCCGTAGCAATCCCAGACCAACGTGCAAGAACCGTGACAGATGCAGTAGTTAGACACATTGTTGCAGACCACGGCGTACCGAAGACAATACTGACAGACCAAGGTCCCTGTTTCGAGAGTGAAGAGTTTACTTCCCGTTTGCAACAGCTGGGCATCAAGAGGATCAGAACGACCCCATACCATCCACAAACGAATGGCCTAACGGAGAGAAACAACCGTACACTGAAGGAGTGGCTGGCCTCGAAGGGCGGGAACTGGGAAACGGAGCTTCCACTGATTTTACTAACACATCGGGCTACCACTCAGGAAACAACGAAGAAGTCACCCTTCCAACTGATGTATGGTAGAAAACCACGATTACCGGTACACAATGAGACCTGGCCCATGCACCAAAAGTGGAGTACGACGAAATTAAAAGCAGAGAGGAAAGAGGCAGTCAAGAATGTAATACGGAAGCAGCGCAGTGATGTCACGAAGTCTCAGATGAAAGAAAGGACGCAGTGCATTACCTTTGCAGTCGGGGACCAAGTGAAGTGTAGAGACAGGAGATATACAGTTGGAGGCGGGCTAGGTTCACGGAAACTCCTTCCAAAGTGGGAAGGACCATACACAATCACAAAAAGACGGGGTCAAGTATATACCATCCGAAGAGGTGATAAACAGAAACGAGTTAACGCCAGTCAGCTCCAAAGATGGGTACAGTGGGACAAGCCGGTCAGTAACAATCCTCAACTAGAGGATGTAGCACCCAGAAGGTCGGAACGTCTGCGCACGAAGCTATTTGACGGGGGGACGAGTGTGGTGAGAGCAGGCTGCTAGCCGATTGGTTGGCACTAATCTACGTTAATGTCTAGGTCACTAATATGGGCCGTGAGAAAATATGAACAAGGCTGTTTCAACAACCAATCACAGCAAACTTAAATGTGGACAAATATGATTCGCAGATAGATGGCTCTACTTTCCGAGAAATATCGAAAACAACCAATCATAAGACTGTGTTTGTCTGCTTAACTTCCGAGAAACAACCAATCAGAAGACTGCCTTTTTCTGCTTGCATAAGCCTTATTAATGCACATAAAATATATATAAATACGTGTTGATTTTCGTAATAAAACGATCTGTTACCAGCCCTTGTCTTCTGTTGTTAACCGATATTTATTTGGAGGTCATCCGTTAAAATTTTTCCCGATTCGAATTCTTTGGACATAAGGCGATACTGCCATACATTCGTGCCTGTATGTGCTAACATTTGTCAATTAGTAAATATGGTTGTCATAATAACAATCCAGTTGATGTTCTGATTCAGATTGCTAGAATCTTTACAATGAGATATAGTTCACATAGCCGCAAACATGAAACGCATAACCTGGATAGTAGAGAGACGGAGGCATCGTCATCTTCACAATTCCAGTGCGCTAAAAAATAGAAGACCTACCAAGTGTTCACTGTTACTAAGTCTTTAATTGTCGTTACACTTGATGACGCCGTGTGATGTTGATTTCCTCAGCAGTTTAAAAGCTTGTTTTAGTTTCGCAGGTAAGTAATCATGTCATAAATCAATTTATTGCTTATTCCAATTATATTTAATTCATCTGAAAATAAGCAGGACAATTAAGTTTAAATCCTAAAAGTGGTGAAAGAAGTCCAACAACTTGTTCACGTGCTTTCCTTCTTTTGCATGTTTTATTCGCCCTGAATAAACGCAGTCGTTAATTTCAATGGAGGCAATTTCAAATATTGGTTTATTTCTGCCCAGTAAAAATGCCATTTCAATTGTACGAAACATTTTAATGAATCGTGATGACGTAGACTATTATAGTTTACGCATATATACAGGACAGATTATTTCTCAGTTTGAATGTGATGAAAGTTTAAATGTAAGTTTAGTTGAGGATTGTTGAATTTCATTATGTGATGCAAAACTTTGACACCTGTCACCATTTCGTAATAATCAAAAAACATACAAACTAGACTGAATTTACACAGAATTTGGTTGCCAGACTTCTGTTGTTATTATTATTAGGTCACATTATCTGAGTTGTGGAAGTCAAAGGCATAATATATTAGTAATTTTGGTACTTTGCGTTTTGTGAAAGTTTAAAACTAACTGATTTTGATTGGATGTACTGCTTGTTTGTGTGCATGGATGTCTCAACCAGAGTTTTTGATTTTGATTACGACAGTAACAGAAGAACACAGCCCTCAAGTTGCAAGTGTCAGTAAAATCATGTAAAATTTTAACTCAATGTATATTCATGAAAATACAAGTTATTTTCCATGTTCTGAGGAAGTTAACAAGCTAATTTTTCGTGAGTCTTAATCACAACAATTAAAAGATATCTAAAACCTTCAGAAAACTGTAACCAATTGGCTTCACAAGATATAACAAGAACAAATTAAAATGAAACGGTACAAAGAAGAAAAACGCTATTTTATCGATGTATTATATATATAAAAGAACCAAGTCTCTCATATAAACAGTTATCATTAGTGAGTGATGGTTCTAATTAAAAATTAAAAATTACCTAACAAGAACTTTTCTTGTTTATTATTTGGTTGGATATATATTAAACTTGTGTTTCTTTCTGTCTTGACATAGTTTGCTTCAGTAAAGACTAAGCATATCATTTGTCCACACTCATAATCAGTACATGTTACATCTCTGACTGCAGCACCGGGTGACGCGGTTTCGAATCTCAGAAAGGACATGAGTTCCTTCAAGGTTGCAGATACGCCTTGCTGACGAGTGCCAACTAGCACGAAACCTCGGTCCAAGGCTTCCTGCCGATTGCCTCCAACCATCTAATAAATGTCACAATTCTTAAAGTGATGAACTCAGTACTAGTTATTCTGTAATGACATTAATGAAATGTTGCTAAAAAATTAAACTGAAACATTTGTTTATAAATTCTTTTATTGTACTCTACAACAGTGTAGAATGAATGCAGACAGTCCGACGACCGTTCTGAATGTCTCATGTTATTATCAGTGCATAAGTATACAGAGTTTTCTAGAGTTCAAAGGTTTTGATCAAATTTCACCTTATTATTTTTAATTCTTAAACAATTAAAAAAATGTTGACTGTGATTCCATAAGCTATTTCTTTTCTGCTAAAAATTATTTCATTCTGAACCTGGAGCTTCCTATCTAGATTTCGCTTGATCACTTGGTGTTCGTCGTCACTTCTAGGTTTACTAAGTGTATGTCCAATCAATCACACACACACCGAAATTTGTAAAACCTAACTTTTGTACTGGATGTGAACCACTGTTTGGCTATCTTGAATACGGGCTGTTTTTAAACAATGCACTCCTATGCTTAACTGATGCCTTAATCTAATAGTTCATACATTCTTTTATTGTGAAATAATAGAGAAGATTTGTAGCACAGGTGGATGGATGATTTGTAATTAGTAGTGTTCGCTGAGCTGGTTGGTTTAGTTGCGGAGCTTTCGTCGTCCTTCTGGACAACATCTTCAGCACAATTTTTAGCATAAAGTGAACTAATTTAAATCTTCCATGAGTGATCGAATTGCGTCTCCGGTTACTATCTTTACGTATGTATTGATCATTTTCTATTGACCTGGATCCTAAACTCTCTGGTCACATGATCTACTTTCTATTAGTTGGTATACTTCGTCTATATTAACGTGTTTGTTAATTACATATTCGTTTGAGTACCAGGCTTCTAGGAATTCCCTGACTGCACTTTTGGTGTTTCCTCTGTTTAAGACTTTAAAATTATCCCAATCCAACTGATGTCCATAATTATCTATATGCATTGATATGAAAGAATGTATATCGTGTCTTTTCACCGCTGATTTGTGTTCTTGGATTCTGATTCGAAGGGACGCCCACTTTGACCGATGTAATGCTTGTTACAGTTCATACAATTTATTTTGTAAAAAGTATCAATTTAATCTCCTTTTTCTGTTGGATCTTTTGGTTTGCACAATTAAACTAACCAGCTCAGTGAACACTACTAGTTGCAAATTCTTTTATTGTACCAAACAGTTTTCCACAGATGGAATTTTGATTAGAAGTTAGATAAAATGACTGATAGAAAACACATAACTATCCTTTTTTCGTTAGATAATAGGGTCGGCTTGCATATCCGTAAGAACCAAATCTGGAATATACCAATGCAACTGGGCGTCGGTGGTTTGGTGTTAAAACACTGGTGACGCACTCCCTTACTCTGCTTAGTCGGTAAAAAGGGAACATCGGGAGCCCTACCCAGTGAAATCAACACTACTGCTAGTGAAACTCCAAAGCCCAGCCTCAAATCCTAACATTCCACTTGGAATGCATAGGAATAAAAAGTAAAACTGAGACAACTAATCAGTGAATTACTATTTTTGGGAAACTCATTCATAGATCAGTTCGCCTGTTTGTCTACCTTCTACAAATAATCATAATTATTTGGATAAACTTTATTTGAAATATGCATGAACTGTTATTGATTCAATCGTCTCAACCCTTCACAACTTTGTTTTATACCTTGCATAAATTAGACCATACTCTGGAGCATAATTCTAAATGAAAATGAAACAAGTGAACTAAGAATTGTCGTCTTTAATGCATATTTTCAGTGCTTAGATCATTTGAAAATGCGAAATATTTTATCGTATCTAGGCAGATCTCTTCATAATCAAGTGAGTCAATACTTTGCTTATTTCAATTTATCATATTTTAAAATGCAGAAGATGGTTTTCAGACACAAATAAGACTATTCAATTCTAAACACTTAATAATGTTGAATAAGGCATTTAGAAGACAAATTTCACGAGATGATATCATTTCGTAGTTTCTTTACAACCGCTTTGCAACTAACATGGTTCACAATAATAATAAAATAAAATGCATGACAATTACTCAGTTACATAATGGTAAAGTACATACTAATGACCAATCATATTTAAACAGGTCAAGTAGTCCCTGGTAGTCAAAAGTCGAAGTCTATAGTTTTCCTACACATAGTTTAGGATGTATCCAAAGTGCTTCCATCACCTTTAATAACTTTGAATTGGAATCACATGAAATAATTGTGAAGCTGTCATTAATATTGATTTTGTGACCTCACATTATTAAGTGCTTTGCAATGGATGATGTTGGATTTCTATTCAGATTAATTGCATTGGGACTTTCTACGTGTATTGATAACCATTTTGGAACATGCTCTTTTTGACGACATTGAAACATTCTATTAATTCTACTAATACACGTGTCACTCCAACTTCAAGTGAACTTCTAGATACAGTTTGAAGTAGAGTCCACAGAATTTCATCCTTTAATCTTAGGTGCAGGGATCGTAAAATGTTCGATATGTGAGGGGAAGAGATGGGGCGTGAAATGTGTGCTTGAAGGCTGACTGGAGTCTTTGAGTTGTCAACTGCTTAATTTGATCCCTCTCGGATGGTAGATTAATAAAGATAGCTTTCTTTGGTACAGAAGCTGTCTGTTCAAGATGTGGTCTATCCTTACAGTGACAACTGATAAAGTTTTCTGGATAACCATTAGCTAATGAAAATGAATGTATGTCTCCAAGCTCATCAATCAATGTGTCGCTCCTTGCATATTTTTCGGACCGTTGAAAACAAACATTTCACTAGGTAGCGTTTATATTGGATAGGAACAAAACTGGTGAGATGGAGATATTGTCCACTACATATCTGTGCACGAAATATTGGTCGTTTAATCGTTTCATCATCTCTCCTGGTCATTGTGATATCCAGGAAACCGAGTTTGTTACTTGAATAGCAACTGTAGTTCTTAAAAGACGTGGTTTGCAAATCTGGTTCATGTCCCGTTTTTTGGCAAATATCACCATGAAATAATAACCTATTGAAATGCGCATAAAACACGACTGTAAGCGATATATTACATTTAAATTGTGTCATTTCTTGTTGTTCCATCCTATAACAATGAATCCACTAAAGTGATTAGGAATTCATTCACCTTGAACGATTGAATTGTTACAACCATGAATTATGTGATTTGCATGAAGGATATAGGGTATAAGGCATCGATTGGAGACTTAGTCTACCGAAAGTAAATACTGCAAATTTGTCATTCTATCCAATACAAATATACCGCATTCTGCAGTGCTGCTAGTTAGTTCTATGAGGAATTGTTAGAGGTGTGTCTTTTAGGGTATACTCCATACGAACCAGCAAAGAGAAAAATTGAAATTAATTGCTCTTTTATAGTAATTTGTCTTGGCGACAAAAGGAATATTTCCAAAGATGTGTTAATGCAATTGTTAGTTTTTGACAAACAGATTACGTAATTTTGAAGGCGTTAATCGGTTAGAAATCTACAATGGTCCTGATCTATTTTAACACCAAATACGTAATTTTGTCTTACCTCTTTCTTCTTTGTTTGTCTATTTCTTAATTGCATTATTTTCTACCCCCACCCTCTATTAAATCTCTACGCTCATGACGACTGTTGCTAACTCGATTTTCGTTTATTTTTAAGTGAATTCTACTCAGCTTATTAACTTAATGAAAACAAAACACGTAGATCAGCGAAGAGTCTCTTTTCGGCGAATTCATTTTCTTAGCTGTACAATCGCAAATATATATGCATTGTTTTGTATGTATGTGTACATTAAGTTTGTCAAACAAAGTTACAATTGGTTAAGGTTACTTTTAACTAAACAAGTGAAGGTTGGTAATACAGGTCAAGAAAATTAAGTGCTAATGAAACTAGGGTAGTAAAAAAATGATGAGTTGTCACAAACAGTTGTAATAATAATAGTGAGTTTTACTCAGGATGCACATAGAAACAAAGTAGATAATACGAAACTATGTAAGAGATCTAAGTGGATACAAGAATTATAATTGCTTAAGGTTATTTTAACTAAACAGGTAAAGGTTGGTAATATAAGTCAAGACCATTAAGTGCTAGGGTAGTAACAAAGGTGATGAGTTGTCACAAACAGTTGTTAAAAGAAGTTATGCAATAATAATATGAATAGTTTGATGAGTGAGTTTTACTCAGGATGCACATAGAAACAAAGTAGATAATACGAAACTATGTAAGAGATTTAAGTGAATACAAGAATTATAAGCAATTAAGGAACAGGCAAAGAAACAAAATTAAGTCATCAAAATAAAAATAAAAGCTCAAAACAAATCAAAACATTGTTACCATGAGAGTAGAAGTGGTTGAGTAGTCTTCTTTTGTATGCACAGCTCCGGTTTTTCCATGTGAATGGCCAGAGCTTCAGCGATGCAAAGGAGACGAAACCGTATTGCCTTTGATATGTTATTCTTGACTCTGTAGATTACTTTGAAGGAGGCGTTCGTTGAAATGCAATGATCAGTGTTGACCAGGTGTTCAATTATCGCACTCCTTATTGCACCAGTATTGCCTTTTCGCAACCATGCTGGATAATGTTCTTGAATTCTCTTGGACAGGATGCGCGTCGAACGACCAATGTACCTGGCTCCACAGCAGCAGGTGAACTGGTATATGCACATAGAAGTGGCCAGATGCGGGATCTTGTCCTTGAGGCTTCTGCAGATCAATGGGCGACTGGAGAACACTATTCGTAGCATTGCTGCAAAGAACGTTCTTCTCAGAGATGATGTGATCCTTCTCTTGAGAATATCGCTTGCTAAATCTCCCTTGAAATCCAAATTCATGTAGATTTTCTTTTTAGGCGCAGTTAAAGTTTTGTTTTTCCGAATTATTGGTTTCATATTTTTGTCGATAAATCTTATTGGGTATCCATTTTGGATGAATATTTCTCTCAGAATATCTAATTCTGTTAACTTAACTCTCATTCATTTTCAAGTGAATTCTACTCAGATTATTAACTTGACTCTCATTCATTTTTTCATTGAACCCTACCAATTAGATCACGTCACCCAACCTACTTTTGTAACTTTATTTTAGTTTCTAACCGATTAACGCCTTCAAAATTACGTAATCTGTTTGTCAAAAACTAACAGTTGCATTAACACATCTTTGGAAATATTCCTTTTGTTGCCAAGACAAATTACTATAAATTTGCGATTTGTACAGCTTGAGAATGATATCGCCGAAAAGAGTAACTCTTTGCTGAACACTTTTTCTTTTCTATGACTGAATGAGAATTTTCAAGCTAATTGCTCTTTGTCAGAAAAAAAAAAGATTTTATCGAAAATGACAGAACCGTAAAATTATTAAGTAAGAGATAAAATAAACTATTCATAGCAATGGTAGCTAAGGTACATTGAATACAATTTATAATCATCGGATGAATTTATCAAATTATCGCTATAGTCGCATCAAAAGAATGCATTGATCTCCAATGCTTAGTGAAAAAATCTAATTATTTTGTGTGAAAGCTATTCATATATATATATATATATATATATATATCATACTATATTTAATTAGTTTGCTTATCATCCGGGCAATAGAAAAATTCTGGGAAATGTACTCTAAATAATAGATTTGCATTAGTGCTTCAGGATATGTCCTCGTTAAGCCGGATTTTATGCTAAAGCCTTATTAATGTAGATCTCTTTCTCCATCGTTCTGGTTGACTGCAGTACCATTTGGAATCTAGTGAACAGTAGCCAAAATAATATACTGTTATTCTTAAGGCGTATCCAAAGCGTCCGTACTATGAGATGGCATATCGAAAGAGACTCAGCGTTTCGTTTAAAAATAATCATTCAGAGAGGAAGTGTAAGTCAGCCTAAAAACAAATGAAATCATATGTTCTTTTTGGAATTAAGCTGAATTTTTAAGAATACATTTCTAAGTTGACTTATATTATTTAATTCACGGAAAATGCCCATTCACACGTGAATATAAAAACAACAAATTCAAAGAAGAGTCTCTTTTCGGCGGTGAATTCATTCACTTATATGTATAAATATTTTGTATGTGTACATTAGGACTGTCAAACAAAAATTTAAAAAATATTAGTTAGGGTTACTGTTTCCATCATCAAAATATTTCTGAAATGTGACGAATAATCGAAATTGTGACTAGAGAGGGGGGGGGTTGAAGATAGGTAAGTGTTGATAGGGGTTGCGTAATATGAAATAGGATCTTAATGGAGACATGTGTCCGCAAAATAAATTGCGTAATAGTTGGAAAGAGTAATTAAAGGGGTAGTTAAGAAGATGTTATTAAGATGCCATACAACAATTCAAAAAACAAAAACAAAAAAGAGAACAAAACAATATTAACAAAAGTCGTAGAACTTGGAGTTATACCCAAGGTAAAAGGAGGGGGTGGAGAAGTTTCTTCTGTGTGCATAAATCAGGGTTTTTGATCAGTATCGCTAAGGCCTCAGCAGTGCAAAGTACACCGAAGTTTACCGCTTTTGCGAGGCTTTATTTGACTTTCTAGATGACTATGAATGAATTCTCTGTAGATATTGAATGACCAGTGTTAACTGTATGTCCAATTATAGCATTCTTTATTGATCCAATGTTACCTTTTCTCAACCAAGTGGGATAATATCCTTTGACTCTAAAACACACAATAATTATATATAAATGCCACTTTACAGCTGAGTGAATGAATTCGCCGAAAAGAGACTCTTCGCTGTACTCTGTTGTATTTACACCATTTATTCGTAGGAAAATGATATGATCTTAGAATAGAAACTTTCAATTCTCAAAAGACAGCTCCAGCGATTTCAGGG